CTGCATATCACAACATTGATAATAGATGCCATACTGATACGCTATAAGTCAAGGTTCCAGGCCTCCTTGTATTACCAAGCTGAAAGTAAAACAATCATCAGTAGTACATCTATATAATATAGTTATATTGGGAAGCTTCGGCGCTCATGCTACAGTCAATCATACCAACTATAGAAGCATTGTATAAAGTAAGTGGTATACTGCAGATAACAACTGAAAATTCGATAAATCCAGCCGTGCCATAAGGTATCAATATATAGGGAAAGCTGTATACACCAATATGAGAGCAAAAAGAGTGAAAAACCGCCAGAATGAACCAATTTGGGAGAATTATAAGGTTGCTGCAGGAAGTAGATAGGGGAGTATAATAAGTATGAAAATAGATAACAATAGAAAATCTTGTAATATAGCATGTAATTGAGGACTAATTAGAAAGGTTGAAATTGAGATACAGATTGTGTTATGGCTGTACCCCAAAAAGTGGTGTGAGATATGAACACAATGGCAGCAGATCAATATATACTAATTGGGAAGAAAATTACAGAAAATAAATAGTTATATAGGTGGGACATGTAATGGTAGATTGCTTCAACCGATTTTAGCTTGAAGTTGGCTTGAAATAGTTAATAGAAAAGTAATATAGGAAAATAAAAAATATAATGCTACATTGGGTAACTAGTAATAGTAGCACAAATATAATTAGAAACTGTATATCAATTGCTCTGTAAAAAAGGTGTTAATCATGACTAATAAAGTTTCTATGTTTGACAATATAAATAAAAAATAAAAAAATTTACAGTATAAAGAGATTTAACAAATAAAAATTTTAATCTCGTATACTTGTTTTTTTTAATACATTTTATAGTGTTCCAAATAAGCCAGCTTAAACGGGCTTATTTGTCATACCCATGCGGCTTGCTGTAGCTTATAAGCTGTGTAATAATTAAAATATGTAAGGGGTATGCAGAGGGTATACAAAATGCATGCAGGGGTATGCAAGATGTATGCAGAGAATATGCAAGATACATGCATACCCCTGCATGTATCTTGCATACCCCTTGTATACCCTTATATATTTTAATTGTTATATAGCTTATAAGCTACAGCAAGCTACAGGGTGTGACAAATAAGCTTGTTTAAGCTGGCTTATTTGGAACACTATTGTATACCCCTGCATACATCTTGTATACCTCTGCATACATCTTGCATACCCCTATATGCATTTTGCATACCCCTGCATGCATTTTGCATACCCTGCATACCCTTTACATATTTTAATTGTTACGCAGCTTATAAGCTGCAGCAAGATACAGGGTGTGACAAATAAGCCTGTTTAAGCCAGCTTATTTGGAATACTAACATTTTATTGATTTGATTATGATTAAATTTTAAGTAAATTTTAAATCCACTTATTAAGTAGATTTTGAATTCTCTAAACAACTGAGTCAATTTAAATTTCGTTTGAAACACAAAATTTACAACCAAATTCATAGTGCATAATCAAGTAGAGCCTGCTTGTGCGTAATCTTGCACTAAAATAACAAATCATTAATTCGTAGTTTGAAAATCCAATAGAGAACAAAGGGATTAGTAATCCAAGGTATTTTCTTTCTTATTAACAATAAAAAATTCATAATAAAGAAAATACTGATCGGTTATTGAGTAATTGTGCGCCGTGATCCTAAATGCCATCGTAGTTTTAAAGATGATACGGTGTCTTTTTCAGCGTTGTGTGCACATCTAAAAGCACCTGCAATTTGAGCTAGATTAGCAATAGGAAAGGTCCTATTGCAAACCCATGCGACAGTTAAGGTTACGTATGTACATACCTTTAATATTGAATTACAGGTTTTTTAGACAAATTAATAAATATTAGCTGTACATTAGCTCATTATACCCCCGGGATTTTTACTTAATCCCACCCAGAGTCAGTCATTTGACACAGTAAAATTTACAAAAAGTTTACAGTTGTCAACTGTCAAAAACCTAATTATACATTTTTTGTAAATTTTACTGTGTCAAATGACTGACTCTGGGTGGGATTAAGTAAAAATCCCGGGGTATAATGAGCTAATATTTGTCAGCCCCTAATCAAATTCGGACATAGTTACAATCAAATTTGAACATAATTTTAGACATCACGGCAAATCAATTTCGAACATCATCATAGTAATCAAATTCTAACATCTTAGCATTCAAATTCGGACAGCGATATTTCGTGTTCTAGTAATCCAAATTACGCGAAGTTGGTACATTTCGACTCGTCTTATTAAGACGAGTCGAATGGTACCAAAATCATGTGATTTGGATTACTAGATCACGAAATATCGCTGTCCGAATTTGAATGCTAAGATGTTAGAATTTGATGCCCGAAATTGCTTGCTATTATGTTCAAGTTTTATTGTAATTATGTCCGAATCTGATTATTAATTTGTCTAAAATAGGTGACCAAAACCTGTATTATTATCGATAATTGACGACTATCTAGAGATATGTAAATACGCACGCATAAATAGAACATTGAGTCCGATAATATTTCTATAAATTACTTTTGTATGTTCACCGTTCGTAAATTAAAGATCTGAATTGAATTTTACCCTACAGCAATGGGAGATTTAGAATTAATAACTTCGTACAATGATATTGTTTTACCGACGGCATGGGATATTAAAGATAAATCACCATTTATTGACATAGATTCAAGTGGACTTAAAGTGATTTATACAGGTAATATGGAAATGAGAAATCCCGTATAAACATAATCATTAGCATTTAAAGAATATAATAGCTTTTTAAAATTCCTTTTAATTATAGATCCTGATGACTTTAAAGCTGCTATCGTTCGAGCAAATAATCCAATCCCTTCAGAATGTGGGATATTTTACTTTGAAATTAAAATTAAAAACAAAGGAAAAAATGGGTAATATTAATAATTACTTCGTATCATAAACACCACTTTTGTTCTTGTGATTTTTTATAATTATTTTAATTCTATTTCTTCATAGAATGATTGGAATCGGATATTGCACAAAACAAAGCGATGAAAAAATAGATGATTTAGATTATATAAATAATATGCTCATGCTTGGTAATAGCAATTTATTATTTTATTTTCTTATTATTACAGATTAACATCTATATCATATTCTTTAGGGCAGGAATATAAGAAAAATATGGAGAATAAAAAAAGCGAGGAAAATGAACCATGGGGGTGTGGCTACCATGGTGACGATGGATATTCATTTTGCTCAGGAAGTGGTGAACCATACGATTTACCACGTAAAGGATATACCGCTGGATATACTACTGATGACGTAGTTGGATGCTATCTAAATTTTAGAAATAAGATACTAAAAATGGAATTAACTTGGGTAATCAACATTTTAGAAATTGAAATTTATATTTTTTTAAAATAAATAGACAAATTTAATAATTATAAAATATTTTAAGGAATTGCGTGCCATCTACCTAACGATTTGGAAGGCAATTTATACCCTTGCGTTGGATTTAGATCGCAAAGAGGATCAATAGAAGTGAACTTCGGCAACAAAAAATTTGAATATCACGGTAAATTTATTCAAAGGTTCAATCGTTGGGCTTGTTTAGAATTTAATCTTGTCCTATGTTTTGATTGACAGCAATAACTAATGAAGACATTAGTAAAAAATCAAATAATGCATTAACATTGGAATATCAAGAAAAGGGTTATTTTATTATGGATGGATATGAAAATATGCTTGTTAATTTAACCGATGAATTGACAAATTCACTAGAAAAAGATCCAAGTAATGTGAAAAATATATTATATTATGGGCAAATATGATAAAGCATTTGAAGATTTAACTAGATTACTAGAAATTGAACCAGATAATACAATAGCATTAAAATATCGAGGAGAAATTAATTATATGATGAAAAGGTATAATGAGTCAGTCGCTGATTTGGAAAAATTATTAAGAATCATACCAAATGACGTATGGGCAAAAAAGGCTTATGAATTAGTTAAGGGGTTGTAAGTATGATATGCATTTGTAAATTTTAGTAGGCTAAAAAAGATTAGAAGTAAATAATAATTCGATTACCACTTATGTTAATCACAAGTCTGTAAGTACAGTAACAGAATTTTATAGTCATTCATTATAACTAACATAACTCTAAATCACATAGCGAGTAAGTATAGTAAACCCGCTCATTCTAATACAAAACTAACATATCCATATTTAAATCATTGTATCACCTCAATAGTCGGTAAGCATTTTTACAGTAAATTACTACGTTCATAGTACAGTAAACCCGAATTTTTTACAGTAAATCACTATAGAAATCACGTTCATTCCAATACAAAGCTAACATATCCATATCTAAATCACTTGTATCACTATAGCGAGTAAGTATAAAATCACATTCATTCCAATACAAAACTAACATATCCATATCTAAATCACTTGTATAACCACAATAGTCTGTAAGAATTTTTACAGTAAATCACAATCATTCCAATACAAAACTAACATATCCATATCTAAAACACCTGTATCTCTATATTTTCTACAGGGGGGTCCCCAGATTTCCGGGTCGTAATGGCCGGAATGCGTCGTGGTTAGGGTCGGGGTTAGGACTGAGTTAGGGTTAGTGGGAGCTATAGGCTATAGTAAAATTATCAGCTGGGCACTTTTCACTTAATGAACGACTATTGTTTCATTAGTAAAATTCTTAGTGATCTTGGGGCAACTCCGGCTCTTCCGGCAAGAGTTCCGAAGCGTCCGGCCCCGGAATTTTGGGGATCTCCCTGTAGGAGTTGTATCTCTATAGCGAGTAAGTATAAACCTGTTCCAAACTCTGATGCTTGGTTCCAAAATCTATGTCTTAAAAAAATCTCTATGATTTCACCATTAAGTCCTCCGCTCCGGACAAATTAAATATTGTAATAATTATAAAAAGTAACACCATAACGATAACGATTAAGTTATCCTTCTTATAAAGTTATCTTTCTTATTCAAATGAGTAAACAACAACAGTTTACAAGACTTCCAACCGAGAGCGATTCGTCTTTCTCCCAAACACCTGCTATACCAATGCAAGTCATCACACCTCAAGCTCAAGTTCCTAGATTGAATATAAACGCTAGTGTCGATGCGCAGCCTCACGTTGTTCATTTCACTTCGTTATCTCCAATTCATAGAAGCTCGATTTCTGGTGTTGTCTCGGAAGAAGAATGGCCCCTAACTGAAATTCCGCAAGAATTAAGAGAAGCCAGTGGTACCTATGATTCATCCTCCGCGAATAATACTGAAGCAAATTCAATGCGTACAGATTGGAAAAGAAGTTTATTTTTATTATTGGAAGATCCTTCTTCGAGCAAAGCCGCGTTTACGGTCAACGTGTTTGTCTCCTTTTCAATCATATTAAGCGCTGTGTTGACCACTATTGAGACAATACCTTCATTTAGGTCGACTTCTAGTTCCGTTTGGTAAGTCCTAATATGATATATTAATTTTCTGAATTTTTTCGTTGGAATTCATATATTATCTTATATTGTCTTAGGTTTAATTATGAAACCACTGTAGTCTTTATATTTACTATTGAATATATATTACGATTAATAGCACATTCTGATTCACTTAAACAGCTATGGAAATTTATAAAAGGTAGGGATTTCATTTAATAATTTATATTTCATTCATGCGATTATACAAGATCTCGGGCGAGCGCAATTTTGAAAATTTTCAGAATGATTTCGTTTTTTTCAACCCGTGTACCGACATCACCGTTTTCTATGTGGACAATAGCTCCCCTTGCTGTTATAGATTTCATTGCAATTGCCCCGTATTACATAGAATTGGCTTTTCATCATGACACGGTAATGATACATATAATATGAATTTTTTATAAGCATAAATTTATTAAGTATACTTATTTATTTGTTAATTTGCTTTTTTTATTTTCGTATTTAGACCTATGACTTTCGTTTTACCATCCTTCGATTGTTCCGTCTTCTTCGTGTCTTTAAGGCATTCAAATACTCTTCAACGATTATAATGACCATTGAAGTAATGATTGTTGCAGTCAAAAGAAGCATGGACGCTCTAGGTGCATTATTCTTCTTTATGGTAACGAGTATCGTGCTATTTTCTACTTTGTTATATTTCGCCGAACGTGGTAAGTTATTTTTTTGCTAATTTATTATATACACTAATCATATATTATTTATCTAATATAATATAATATAATATAATATATGCTTTCTTCGTCAGGTACATGGGACCAGGAAAAGCAACAATTTGTTAATAGTAAAGGATTGCCGAGGTATATATTATTTATGTGTTCGTAATTAATATTTGTATGTATGCAGTACTAATTATCTAGCATATATTAGCACCTTTGATAGTATTCCCTCAGCATTTTGGTTTGTCATGGTAACTATAACCACTACTGGTTATGGTATGTTGATTTAGTCAAATATATTGTTTTAAGTAACGTCTTTTATTCTAATATTAAATTTCTTTATTGGTTAGGTGATATGGTTCCCACAACATTTGTTGGAAAAGTGATAGCTTTCCCCGCGATGATGTGTGGCATCCTGGTAAGTTAGTTAAATATATTGGTTACCTTGAATATATTATAATAATATTTGACGTTATCTGATAAGTTTTATGATATTATACAGCTCATAGCGTTACCATCCATAATTGTTGGAAAAAATTTTACTTTAGTATGGGAAGCAATGCGGCAATACCGTCGTTCTAATGCCAATGCACGAGTGAGTACACTTTCAATAAACTTTTTTTTTTTTCATAGTGGTTCCATCCAATTAATTATATCTTCTTTCCATAAAGGATCAAACTGGTAATATTGGTACAAATAATGAAGGTGAATATACAGGAGGTAAGTAATAAGATGCTTATAGATGATGATAAATAGTGCATTTATATAATCTATTTTCATTTAATTGTCTAGGTCCGGATTTGCGGACTAGCTTTGAAAGTACACACTCTTATATATCAAATATGCCTCGTGGTTATGATTCTATGAATGACGAGCTGGTTGCTAACCAAGATGCGTTACTTGAACAAGTGCGAACTTTATTAAAAATTTCTCAACAAAATCAAGTTGCACTTGAAAGAATCCAACAGACATTAGAACAAAATGGTATGAAGGTCAATCCAGAAAAAAATAGTCCTAAAATTACTATACCTGAGAAGGGTACTACATCAGGAACCTCTTGATAATAAATAGATATAATGATTTAGATGATTTAGACAATTGTATTTTTAATACTAAAATTTCATTAACATTTATTCTTTGTGAATTTGGTCTGGGTTAAGCATTCATTTTTGTCAAGAATTTAATTTTAGAAAAAATATTATAATTTTTAATTTAATTATTGGAACAACGTATCATGTGACAGCAATATTATATTATTATTTAATTATTTCAATAAATTTTTTACCGATGGTATCGCTATTTTGGTTGGGTTTTATCAAAATTTTTTATGTTAAAGGCCGAATATTAAAATGAATAAACTACGATTTGTGTACGTACCTCTTAGGATAGATTAGTCGCGCAGCCAAAATTCCGCATATTGGCGTCGGAATACATCGGGGCTAGGCCGGCATTATCTTACAACATATATCGATATACATTATGTAAAGTTTCGCTAATTGTCCGGAGCGAAGCGGAGGACTCTCATTTTCAGGGCATATGCAATTTTTGTCCATGTGATCAACGATCTACACATACTAGAGGCCTTGTCTGTCCATCCACGTGACCAATCACGACACATTTTTTTAATTCGTTCCGGATTCTGTTTTCCTAGTAAAATTATTTACACTATTGAATTTATTGTTTGGAGCGAAGCGGAGGACTCACATTTTCAGGTCATATGCAATTTTTGTCCGTCTGCCCACCCATGTGATCAACGATCTACACATACTAGAGATTTTGTCCGTCTGTCCACCCATGTGACCAATCACGACACATTTTTTTTTAATTCGCTCCGGATTTACAACAGCCCTGTTTTCCTAGTTTAATTGACATTAACCATGCTTGGATCGATGTAAATTAGCCTATCTTCATACGATACAAATAAATTCCGCACTAGTATTTCTTACACCTTAAAAATTTATGCATCTTAGAATATGGCATGAGACGGTTAGATAAACTCAAATTTTATACTGTAGTTAATAAATTCATTAAGGTGAATATGGCGCAGATACAGTATTAATTTGACACAACATATACGAATAAAAAAGTAAATAAAAATCTTATTTCATTTTATTATTTAATACATTACAGTATACAATACAATTTTAGAGAGGATTTCTTACTTGTCCCAACCACAACGGAGAGGTGTCTCTCATTGGTTGGGGAGGCCCAAGAACTTCCCTGAAAAAAACAAACAACAGATTTTCACTGATTTGCAATCTAGAACCTTCGAATCCTTAATTGTGAGGTTAGTATGGTGGCCTAGAACCAACCTTACGTGACTTGCAAGTAAATCTTGATATAAGAAAGTTACACGAGTCCAGTCAAAACCTTTCTTATATCAAGATTTTCTTATATCAAGAGCTTTTTATATCGAGAGTTTCATCGAAGGTTTCTTATATTGAGAGTTACTTGTAAAATAAAAATGACAATAACTAATAATAAGGCCATATAAAATTAATTTTTTGGTTCTCATAACCTGGCCAGGTTACAAAAGCTAAGTTAGAAATTTTAAATTTATATATATATAAAACATAGCCTGGCCAGGTTAAAAGAACCAAATAACAATATTTAAATTATATGCATATACTATTTGAAAACCCGTGCAATAATACACAGAAATAAATATAGTAAAATTTATATACTGTCGACCCTCTCAGAACCGATATGCATCGTAGACTAGTTTCGTATCAGTTTTGAAAGGATATCGGATTTGAAAAAATCATGTGCCAAATAGATCTCAATCGGCCAATCAAATTGCAGGATCACTCATACAGTTTTAAAAAAATCTTGCTTTTTCCGTAATTAAATGAAAATACTTAATATGTACATACATTCTAAATGCACATTTCTAATTAAAACCGGTTTGTACCTATTACTGTGTACAATTAAATTCTTTTTTTTATTTATTTAAAGAAAACGATATTTACATCAGATTTTCTGGAAGCGGTCCTGTTTTTAATGTTTAAAATTACTGCCGCAGTTATCGAGCATATGGAAACGCACAGCAAAAGCAGGGGATGGACTGTATAATGTATAGCCCCATCCTTGCTTTTGCTGTGAACGTCCCATATAGTACTGAACAACGATTTAATGGTCGTTAGAATTGTCATGCTAAATTAGCAGTAGCTGCCGCAAAAATGTTGACATTAAATCGAACTTCAGGGGCAGCCCCGGGGTAATCTTTACGCCAATCTGATCTGTGAAACTAATCTAAGTTAATTAAAAAAGAAAAAATAAAACTAAATTAAGCGGAATCCTGTACAAGAACATGTCTATATACTTAGTAGTGTTATTAGAACTTTAAATTCACAAAATGAATGATAATTTAGGGAAGGTGTTCTATATCAAGAATAATGATGCCTAAATTATTAAAAATTGTTGAGTTGATAGTTTCCTGTTTAAAATCCAGTAACATACCTAGGGTTAAGGCACGAAAAACTTTTAGGCATGCCTAGGAGGGTATGCCTTAATGCCCAAAAGGCATGCCTTGGGACACCACGCCCAACCCTAATCATACCATTAATTAAAAAGCCTTGAAAATAAAAGGATGTAATAAAGCCAAATTAAGTACGGTCCTGAATAAGAGCAGTAGCATATTGTATAAAATTAGCTTTGAATAATATGTTCTTCAAAATTAAAAATGTAAAATAAAAAAGAAAGAATTTATCATATTAATAATAGCCCTATTTAAAATTTTGTGCCATTCTTAATTTGTAAAAATAATCATTCAACCGCTAGATCGTTTTGGTTGATTATTTTCCAAATTTTAGTAGCATGCCACTAGTGCGCTATTAAATTATTAATACAGTATAAATTAATGGCAGGCCACCAAAAATTTGCTTGTACCTTCAACCTACTATTGATATGCTTTTTTTCAAAAAAAAAAAAAAATTATACAACCCAAACACCACCAGTTTTTACTTTGCAATGGAAAAAAGTAAAGATAGTGTTGTTTTTTCAGGAAACTTGCATAATAATCAAAGAAAAATAATATGTGATTATTACCAAGAAAATCTGACAATTACTCAGAAGGAACTTGCCGAATGGGCCAAAAATACGTTCAAGTTATTGAAAGCCCCAGGCCAAAGTACAATTTCTGACATATTAAAAAGAAAAGACAAGTTTAGTAAGATGTCTTCAAGTGACCTTGGAGTTAAAAAATGTTGTGTCATGATGTTTCCTAAATTGGATATCGCTTTGGCAAATTGGGTACTACAATCTGAACATCGGTCTGTATGTTTAAATAGAGATATGATTAAAGCCAAGGGCAAAAGACTAGCAGAATTAATGAAAATTCCTGACAATAACCAACCCAAATTTTCAAATGGGTGGTTACAAGCTTTTCAAGAAAGACATAATTTTCATCATTTCAGATTGCATGGTGAAAGTGGTTCTGCTAACATTGAAACCATCAACTTAAATCTTTATAATATTATTAATAATACTAACCAATATTCTTTTTGTGATATTTATAACATGGATAAAACGGGTTTGTTCTACACTATGGCTCCTGATCGCATAATTGCATCTCATCAAATTGAAAGATCAAAAAAGACTATATAAGAATTACAATTGCATTTACAGCCAACACAGATGGCATCCACAAACTTCAACTCTTTATTATTGGACA